GCAGGCAGCAGGCAGCAGGCAGCAGGCAGGGGAGAGAGAGCCTTTTGGTGGGGCTTGCAGGAGCTGGGCAAAGGGCAGAGAGCAGGACAGGCGCTGGCAGGGCTCCTTTGCCTGGCCTTCTCAGCCCGGGAACAGCCCCAGCGCTGCCAGGTCCCACTGCTCTTTTGCTTCTGGGTGATACCTTGCATTGGGGAGCCCCTTCAGTTACCTGTATGACCCCAGGACCCCTCTTGGCTAAGGGATTTCAGCCTTCTTCATGCGCAGCAGCAGGTACTGCAGCCCATACTCCTCACGCCAGTACAGCCAGTTCCTCCACAGCAGTTGTAGGCTATGCTAAATGTAGCAGGAGCATCCCTGCTTAGTCTGAAAGTGTTAATCTCCTTTTTCTTTGGATTTATGATCTACATTCTTCCTCTCTTGGTTCTCATTTTATGCTTGTTGAGGATATTTGTCATGGACTAATTTAAGAAATGTGGTGATTTTAAACTGTCAATGAAGGTGAGGTTTGTGTTGTTTTCCTCTAACTTTCATTCTTACTACAGTCCTGCTGTATAACACAATCTGAATTCTACTTCTCCTCCCCCTGCCTCCCCCCGCTTTTAATTGTGGCTTTGTTAAGAGTCTTACAGATTGTGAAATTCAGCTTTTGGTATCAGGTTTCCATCCTCATCACCGGCAGACAAAAGCAGTTCATAAACCCTGCAGAAATCCCACTCCCACCTTTCACAGTCCTTCCCTCTTGTTCCCTTGGCTACTGTTTTTTTATGGTTACAAGAACATTTAGAGCTAAGAAAAAAAAAACCACCACATTTTCTTCACCATTTAATTGAGAGCTTCTGGCAAGGACAGCAGAGTTTGTGAACTCATCTGAGCTCAACACTCAATTCAACCTACACATCTCATCGTGGCGCCTACGAACAATGGCTAAGGAAACCACCTCTTAAAAGGAAAATGTACAAAATGTCAATAAGAACTAGGAATGAATTTCAAATACTATATAAAGTACTTCCTGCTCAGGAAAGAAGCTCCTTCTCATCACTTGAAAATTTTCCTTTTCCCATAATAACGTATTTTGATTTTTTAATTTAGTTGGAGAATTAAACTGAAAGCAAATCTGTGCATGCAACCTGTTTCAACATAATAGCATGAATACAGAAAACTATTTTCAAGCCATTTTTAGATCACATTGCACTGACAGAAAACTTCTGCAGAGTACCTATTGAATAAAGACCTGCAAAAAGAAGGAAAAAAAAAAAAACAGACACACTTAAGAACTGCATGAAGGGCTGAAACAAAGTTCATTATTTGTCATGACATTTGGACTGCTGAGGGACTCCAGGCATTTGTTCCCCACGCAAGAGTGAATATTGCTCCCAGAGGAGGCTAAAGGACAAATGAAAACCAGAGAGGCTCTTGTGCAACACCACAGGGGTTTAATGGGAAGAGAAGCATAGCAGCCAACTACAGAAAATCAAGGCAATACAAGGGGAAACGCGTGATACAGGTATTATGTATTACTGGTACCAGTGCCCCGCTGAGGACCCAGGGGACAGCTGAGGTGATGGAGGCATACAGGGGATATCGAGGCTCAGCCATGCAGCCAGGTGCACGGTGGCACAGGGTACAGGGCTGCTGGGCACACACAGCCTCCTCCTGTCCCCATGCCAGGGCAGCTGATGCACTCTGCTGGTCCCCGTGGCTCTTGCTCCATGGCCTCATGCTGCCGTCCTTGCTTCAGGGCTGTGTTGCTGGTTCTGGGCACCATCCGGGGGCCTTTAGAAAGCTCCGCAGCTCCCACGGCGGGACCCGCCCCACCTCTGGGCACCCGGGAGGGAATACCC